TCTGTGTGTCTCACAGAGAGCAAGTTGGGGTCTGCGAAATGACAAATTCCTAATACAAGAAACTATATGGTTAATGGATAAAGTGATGATAATAATAAAGTGATCTCATCTTATCTCATCTCTTACTGCTGCTCCAGTTTAGGAATGTGCTGTTCACCCTCTTCACCACTCGGCGGCAGTGTTGTCACTTGTTGTAACAGCAGGTTGCAGCCATTCAATTCAAGCTTGATCATCCCATTTGGGGAAGTTCGTTTTACAGTGCGCTCCCAATGTAACAACACAAGACAGATCAAATTTACCAACCAAGAGGTCACAGAGCCAGGGGGTTCAAGAACCAAGAGGTCAGAGTGTTACAGCAAGATGAGGGAGAAGATAGTTCTGAGATATTCCAGTGGGGCTGAAAGATTTCCTGTGTCTGTTAGTATCACACCTGGGGACAGAGAGGCATCTCCCAGACAGGAGACGTTTGAACTCACAGTGGGTGAGACACAATCCATAATACACTTGATTTCTTTAATAACTCCTTACACTTATGTAGCACTTTTCTGGACACTCCACTCAAAGCGCTTTACAGGTAATGGGGATCCCCTCCATCACCAGTGTGCAGCCCCACCTGGATGATGCGACAGCAGCCATAGTGCACCAGAACACTCCCCACACACCAGCTCTCAGTGGGGAGAAAAACAGAGTGATGAAGCTCAACCTGCGGCTCCAGCTACCCTCCACCTGACAGTCTCAATAATCCTTCCACACACATACTGTAGCTCTACCCCAGTGCAGCCCCACCTGGGTGCTGCGCCAGTCTGCTCCGCACACACCAGCTCTCAGTGGGGAGGAGCGCAGAGTGATGAAGCCAGTTCAGAGATGGGGGTTAGTAGGAGGCCATGATGGGTAAGGGCCATTGGGAAATTTGGCCAGGACGCTTGAGTTACACCCCTACTCTTTTCAAAAAATGCCCAGGGATTTTTAATGACCACAGAGAGTCAGGACCTCAGTCTTACCTCTCATCCGAAGGACGGCACCTGTTTACAGTGTAGTGTCCCCGTCACTATAATGGGGCATTAGGAGCCACAGAGACTGCAGGATGAGCGCCCCCTGCTGGCCCCACTAACACCTCTTCCAGCAGCAGCCTCAGCTTTCCCAGGAGTCTCCTCTCCAGGTCCTGACCAGGCTCAAACCTGCTGAGCTTCAGTGGATGCTTTGCTACAATTTGTTTGTAGAGGAGCTTTGAGGTGATTAAATTTGCCCTAATTAATTTGCTACATATTTTGACTAGTTTTCCCAGCCAATTACAATCAATGGTTACCGATGCTACCAAACCAGCAGTGAGACAGTATGTTAAGACACTTTCAGTAAAAGACTTGCAGAAAAGTGTTAGCATGGTTCTACCTTGAAATAGTTCAGTTTTATTAGAAAAAAATAGTCTATGTTGTGTGATTTTTTTATAAATGGTGTCAGAGTACTTGTCCAAACTCAGGGTTTTGTCTATGACCAGTCCCGAGTACTTGCAGTCATTGACAGTTTCTAGTCTGACCATTAATTACAACAGGTTGGAGGGATGTTGCATTTTATCCTTAAATCAACGACCAGCCCCTTTATTTTTAAATTCAAGTCGATCAGAATGGGTCCATGATGGTTTCCGGGTCCTTCAATTAGCTGACCAGGGCCGAGTCATCAGCAAACTTAATGAGATGTCTGTGTGTGTGTTTGCTGTTACTGTTTATTGACTGTGTTTAGTTTCCAACGGAAACCGCACGCCTCCCGCCTCTCGCTGCGGTTCTAACTGTCCGCCATCCCCGAGAGGAGCTGTGATATTAGCGGGGAATGTGCTAGGTCTTAATATATACCTGATTGAGTACATGACGCCATTCTGATCTGCTGTCTCCTGCTTCTCCGCCGACGGGCTGCGCACGACGTACTCCTGCGCTCGTCACGCTGGGCGCGCCGGTAACGGAGGTGGGCGGGAGGAGGAGGAGGAGGAGGAGTGAGAGAGGAAGGCTGCGTGGATTAGTCGGTGGAGGCGCTGCGTGCGGGCGTGTTGCAGTCACGGCTCGCTCTGGCGCCGAGTGCGTGTGACTGGAGATCTGCGCTCTGGTACCGGGAGGCTCGGAGTGCGTGTTCACTGGCGAGCGGCTGTCTGCTGTGATTAGCGCGGTGCTCCTGCTCAGAAAGGTACAGTATTGTCTCGGCAGGCGCCGTGGGGTTCCCACGGGGCTGCGTGTCGCGCGTGGCCTGCGGGAGGAGTGACTCGGGGGTGACGACAGCGCGTGTCCTGCTGTGCGGGGAAGAGTGGGGGGCCCGTCCGTGTGGCGCAGCGTGGGCAGGCGACCGCGCCAGCCGAACAGAGACAGGAGCAGACCGGCCTCGGCACACAACCGAACCGGATCGAGTTCGACCGTTGCGACCCACTCCGCCGCGCAGCGATTTGCCCGTCATTCACGGCGGGTTCGTCTGCTCTCCGCCTCTGTCTGTGGATCTGTCCGCCCGTGTCGGTGTGCGTGTGCTTTGTCAGTCTGTGAGTCATGCCGGTGCTTGGCGTGGGCGGGCAGAGTGCTGTCGGGGGGCAGGCGGGTGGGGGTGTCACTACCCGGATTGACAGGAGACTGCAGCTCGGGGAGTCGCGGCCCAGCTGGCTCTGTCCCTCGGCTGACGGTCAAGATCAAACGGTAACAATACATTCACTTATACAGCGCCTTTCCAACCCCAGGACGCTTTGCATCATGGATAAAGAAAAAGCCGAGGCCGTGAGTTTCAGCAGGTGGGATGAGCGCAGGAGCAGGGATCTCTCGCGCTCATTAACCCTTTCCGCTCTCTTCCAGCTCCTCCCCTGTGTGTGCGGCGGGGCGCCCCCTGTCTGCGGTAGAAGCGGTGCGATGCAGCGATGGGGTGCTCACCTCACAGGTCCGCACTTGCGAGAGGCTCGGAGAGGCGGGAGGGCGTAGAGACGCCTTGACAGCCGGTCTCCGCTGCGATGGAGTGGTCCCTGGACGGGCTGAGGGAGCTGGTTGCCGGGGGGATGCAGTCTCTGAGGGACTGCGAGCCCAGCGCCCTGGCCAC